TTAAAATAATATAGGGCTGTTTTTATTCTGATGCTTTATTATCGCGTTTTATTAATACAAGGCGCACTTCCCCGACTTGTCGGCAAAATGCGCCGGGTCAGACTGTTTTCAATTTGATTAAAAATACGTAGGTTGTCAGGTGACAACCTCTGCTCTGTGACTGAAGTTCGTAGGTTTTCAGGAAAGGCCTAAAATACGTAGATAGTAAAAAGACGTAGAGTTGGCAACGCTGGCATGGTCAATATAAATTATTATAAACTCTTAATCAGAGTTGCCAGACAGTCTCGGCGACGTACCCCTAGACTAATTTGATTTCCCCCCAGAAATCCCCTGGGATGCCTTCAAATACAAAAGCTTCTTGTTTAGTGTTATTAGTGAATTTTCATGTAATTTTAGAATTTGTATTTAATTAAAATCACATCGTTCTTTGACAGCTCAAACGAATATACAATTAGTAAGGTTAACCACACGGATCCAATTCTTACGATGTGTTCGTGTATATACAATAGCAAAAAAAACTGTATTTGGTGTGTTTTTTAAATTTTCCCTAAATGTACACCCAAATATTCTTTCCCCTATTCTGCCCCTAACTCAGTTGAACCCCAAAACCCCAAAATCTATGGGGAAATCCTCTGATCTGGCAACACTGTCTTAATTGATACTTATAGTGCCAATGGACTTTGTATCCGGCTAATAAATAAATTAAAAAAAAAAAATATGATACTTATAAACAATTTGCTTAGAAGTTGAAAATTTAGATTTTAGACAATTAACACTATTATGAATAAAATGGGTTAATTGTGATGACCATCATTTTTCTTTTTTTTATTACGTAATAAGACTCCTGAAGAACCGCCATACTGGTAGAAATGACTCAATATTTTGTGTCACTATCTCCCGGTCTAACAGAATGCCACGATATTCCAAAGGTCTGGTAAGTGACGAAGGCAATTCTGTTAGTGAAATTACCATCGACTCCCAGGAAGGAAAAAATACTTAAAAGATAGGGAAACTAAAATCGGAATGAATAAAAAAGAAGACTATTTAAAAGTCGCAATTAGATTAGCATATTGAAATTAAAATCTTAATGGAAATGAAGTCTGAAGAATTAGATCTATTTGAATATAAAAACTATGCTGATTAACTTAACGCTTTTTTTCCCTCCTAAAATATACGGCATCTTTAAGAAATTTAGCATTATGCTTAAGTACATTTTATAAGCCCGAATGTATATATTATACCCTATTTATTTATTAGAAAGCAATTATTTCAGACCTCCTCCTGACTTTTGTCAGTTGTCTTTTGTCAGTTGTCAATTGCCATTATCATATCTGACATTCGACTCTTTTGGGAATCGTCTGTCTTTTTCTGCTCAAAAGTCTTTTGAGAGGTTGGTTTCGTGTTTTCAATCTTTTTGAATCCAAATAAGTATAATATCTTAAATTCATTGGAAACGTAATATCATTTAAAACGGTGAAATTAAGTGATTTGTGTATATATTTTGGCAAATTTGTGAAAAGTAACACATAAACAAATATAACCTAAAAGTGTAACACTTGTGATTCAAAGCCGCTCTATTTTTCAGTAACAAAAATGGGTCGTTATTCTCGCGAGCCTGACAATGCTGCAAAATCATGCAAAGCGCGTGGATCTAATCTCCGTGTGCACTTCAAGGTAAGTGTTTCTATTGTTTACTTCCTATGGCGTATGCCTTAGAAACAGGAATTTTCATTTATTTTATTATTTAAATTTCAGAACACATATGAAACAGCTATGGCAATTAGGAAGTTGCCTCTTCGTCGTGCTGTCCGCTATCTTAAGAATGTGACAGAAAAGAAGGAATGTATTCCATTCCGCAGATTTAATGGTGGTGTAGGAAGATGCGCGCAAGCTAAACAGTTCGGAACCACACAGGGTCGGTGGCCAAAAAAATCGGCTGAATTCCTTCTTCAACTATTGAGGAATGCTGAGTCAAATGCTGACTACAAGGGCTTGGATGTTGACAGGCTTGTCATTGATCACATTCAGGTATGTTTTTATTTCCCTCTTTCAATTATATGTAATCAATTAATACATCTTAACTATACTAAAGTTTATTAAAATCCAATAACATATCTCTTACAGTAGTAGTACATTATATTTGTTACTATCTCAAATTCAGTTTAGTTCTGGACTTCTTTATTTTATTCATTATGGAATGAGGATCTTATCTAATTGGCTTTTTGGGTAGTTCTCTAACAGTAATTTGCTTAGCTGTGTAAGGCTATTGCTTAATTCTTACAACTACATTCAACAAATTGTTATACTTGAGGTTACACATGATATAATATCAAATTTTTAAATAAAGAAATTAAAAAATACCTCAATACAGAAAATTTAATAGACACAGTAAATTGAGTGATAGGCACTTGTTACATTATTTTGCCTTTTTAGCTTGACAGTGTACACTTACATGTGTACACTGTTTTCAAAAGGCAGAAAGTATTTTGTGGTAAGAGGTTAGAGAATAATATTTTTGTTTTTCTTTAACTCAATGCCACATACATAAGATTTACCTTTCTATCTTTCTCTTTTTTGTGTTAAACTAAGAACTAGTGGTACTCTATAAAAACCCTATACCCATGTACATTATGAAAACATTTCAGTACTTATTTTCAAGCTTGGTATATACATTTTTGACCTATCGTAATTTCTTGATAACTCTTAATATTATACATATATTCTGTAAAATTAAGTTAAAAAGTGTTTTCAATAAAATAAAGTTTGAAATTGTTATAATTGTGAATCTTTTACCTATGAAAGATATTTGTGGAATTATTTTAAGAAATTTCTTTGGGGATAGTTTAATTACATTACTTATATTGTTATACATACAATTAGAATGTTTTATTAATAAATTCAATTTTATGGTATATTATATCAATTAAATAAGAAACTTTTTAATAAAATTGATTGGTTGGTATGGCGTGACCTTTTCTATGTTAATTCTATGCTTACTTAATACTTATATACTGTGTTAACACTAGTCTCATTAAGGATTATTATAAATTAATAATTTTTAGGTTAACCGAGCTCCATGCCTCCGCAGACGTACCTACCGTGCCCATGGTCGTATTAACCCCTACATGTCATCTCCATGCCATATTGAAGTATGTTTGAGTGAACGTGAGGACGCCGTGGCCCGTGCTGCTCCCACAGACGATGCACCTGCAAAGAAGAAGCTCTCCAAAAAGAAGCTTGCCCGTCAAAAGGAAAAGATGATGAGGGAGTAGAAGTTTAAGGGTTAATAAATGACTAAAAGACAATACTCGTTTTTATTTACTTAATTAACAAATGAGGAAATAATCGATTCGATTAATTTACCGAGAATGTCACATCACTTATAACCAATAGAAAACGAGAATGTCACATCTCTTATAACCAATAGAAAAGTAGAAAATGACCGTTTTACAATTTGACGGTTTCACTTCGATAGATTACAATCTACCGAATAATAATACGTTAAATTGTAAGCAGTTCGTTGAGGTTCACAATCTTTCGACAGTTTTCAATCTCGCGAGATAGATTACAATCTAACGGTGTTTACAATTATTTTACGGTGACATATACGTCCTATTGACTTGCTTTTGGCCTTCATAGATAGCTTATTTTTAAAAATAAATTGTGCGTGTACTAGGTGTACACACGTAAGAAGTGAAACTTCTTTATGATCTTATTTTTCGAAAAATTATCTACTATGTGCAACTTTACAGAAATTCGTTAAATTAGATAAAGTTTAACAAAAGGCTTTTATTATCATAGACATAAATACAAATATTTCATTTTACCTTATTACTACGAAGATTATTATAGAATTTCATTAATTGTAATAGAATTATTACTATCATTGAAAAACGTGACGATTTGCTACAAAATTTCTCCCATACGTCGATAAAGAAGTTTCATTCCAACGCCGATAAAGAAGTTTGACTTCAAAAAGCAACATGGCGCGTAACCGAAAAATGTGACGCGTAACGAAAAAATGTTACACTAAATTTTTTTCCAACCTCGATAAAGAAGTTTCACTTCAAAAACTTACTAGTAGCGTAAATTTTCGTTACTAACAATATAATCCAATATTAAACTTTTAGTTAAATTCATTTTCAAACTAGTGCGTGTTTTCATTTTTCAAGTTCGTAACTCAATCTTCCTAAAAATGTGTTTATCCTATGGACTATCTTGTCAAGTGTTGTCAAATTTGCAAGTTCTAAATTGACAGTTCGCTAATCAAACGATCCGTTAGTAGTAAAGCGTCTTCTTGTGAAAAGTGAACGTCTAACAACTCGTATCCGTTATTTGTTGCCACTGTTGGTAAATCAATTTTGTCATGGCGCTGCCGTTTTTACATGCTACGTCCCGTTAAACGTGGTTTACTAAAACGAGGCGTTTTTAGATCAGATGAAGTGTCAAGTTTTAAAGTAAAATGGACGGAATTAATGAAACAGATGACGCTTAATGTGTTTTTTAATCATTCTTGATTTTTTGAACTGTAAATTGTTTTACAATATATAATTATATGGCAAAAGAACCATTTTTAGGTTTATGGTCTTTGATACAATTACTTAAAATTTATAATAACTCATCATTTTATTCAACGCATGTTTCATTAAAAAGGTACCAAAGGTTTTAAAATGTAACAATAATATTTCATTCGGTAGATTTAATCTGTATTCAGTGTTGTACAAAGTACTGCCTGCCATATTGTTTTTTTGGTGAAAAAACTACTAGCGCTAGTGGTGGACATTATAACTACGTTTGAATTATTGGCGGGCTGATTAGTGCAAAAACTTTAGGTCTTAATTCCTTACCACGAATTATATACAAATACGTTACTAGTATAAGTCGTTAATATCATTTAATAATATTTTCAGTGATGACCCTAAGCTATAGATGACATTAAAGTTACTAAGGACATAACTGCAAACTTCAAATTTAAGGAATCAAGATAAAATAATATAAATATGGAATTTGAATTGGCAAGTTTTTGTTTAATCTTTCTATGTTAACTGAAACCATTGAAAAAGTTACTTTATGTGTTACAAAATTTCAAAAGCTAATGAATTTAATTATTTTCAATGCAGATATTCTACTACAATCATGATTGTAACTAATATTGTGCATTTAAAAGCTTAGTCAATTAGGCGAAAATTTGATTATGTTCTATAATCTTTTATTTCAATTTAACTAAAAACATTTGAATATGCTTGAGAAGCAATAAAATAAGTATATTATGTGTGTTACATAATGATTTGGATTTTAGAAACACAAGAAAGCAATGTCAAAAGAAGAAGTCAACATGTTATTGGATCTAATTGAAAGTAAACCAATTATAACAATCAAACAAACTGATGCAACAACAAATAAAAGTAAGGAGGAAGCCTGGTCAATGTTAACAGCTTTTTTTAACACGAGAAACGGTGGAATGCCTAGAAGTAAAGAGCAATTAAAAGCAAAATGGGATAATTTAAAGAAAGCTGCTCGCAAAAGAGACCAGGATATTAAGTTGAATAGTGAAAAGGTATGAGATGGTGTAGTACTTTAACTATATATAAAACCGTTCTCACATTGGCTGACGAAAATAAACATATTTTTAGGTTAACAGATAATATTTAATAAGGTCTAGTATTTTTTTGCAGCTATAGTGTAGTTTAGTTAAGTTTTAAAATACTTTTGGTTAATTTTTATTAACTAGTTGTTTTTTCTTATTGAATTTTGTATGTTTGTATGTTTTGTGCATTTATTTTCTAAAATATTTCTATTAACTCACTAGTTACTTTAGGGGCTCCTGTAGAAAACATATAATTTTTTTGTAAATAAATTAATAGTTAAAATAAACATGAATAAAACAATTTTGCTGGAATATAACTGATACAAACAGCAAAACTGATTTATTGATTTATGTATTTTTTTGCACTTATGAACTTCACTTACTTACATTTACTACCAGCTCTTAAAGCAAGGGTGTGAACAGACATGAAGAAATGGCAATCAACTCTCCACTACTGTATATTTTATTTACCAACTATTTTATTTTACAAGGTACTTAGTGCTATAATTCATCTAGGATTACATAATGCTATAACTGTGTGCTAGAATGATTATATTGTTATATACTTCATGAATTTTTTAAATATGGGACCTGTGATTCACACACTCCACACATTAGTTTATACTTTGCTACATTAATTTTAGATTTCAAATATTAATCAACCAAACATAGTATATCTTTTCTCTTAGAATTTTAACTATATGTTTTTTGTTATTTAAATCAAAAACCTTTTTATTCCAGACTGATGGCAGTAGACCAATCTTTATTCCACCAGATGAAGTTTTAGATAAGGTTATGCATCTTCTTAAAGCAGGCCGGAATGCTGGTGATGGAAGCTTAAATGTGGCTGAAGATTCAGAAGGTGAGTTTTGAGGTGATATGGGCTAAAAAGATGATGTCCAGTCAGAGCACATCTGTGCTTATAATTTTAAAATAGCTTTAAATTTGCTGTAGTGGTTTGAAGACCAGACCAAATAACCTAATCATCACACATTGCAGATTTCATGCCATGACTTGTATGGCAATGTACTGAAAAAGACACTTCCAAATTGATAGGCCCATATAAGTTACTTTAAGTTCATTTGTAAGTAGATTCTCATTGGTTACTTGCCTTGCCCATTTAGGTAGAATACCTAGAGCAATCCCTGAGGGTCCATACATAATTTCAAGGTCATATGCAGCAACAGCCTCACCGAAGGGCATTGGAAATATAATTATTACTAAGTTCATTTATATTATGATTCAAAATTTTCAGGTGCTCCAGAAAATAGTATGGACAATAGTACAAGCAGTATCATACCAAACATAATATGGGGACCTAAAAAAGGTAATAATTAGACTAAATTAGAGATTTTTCGCCTACTTTAAAAAAAACTTATAAAATAAATCCGTCGCAACAACCTTTTTAGATCTGGGCCTCAGATTTCTTTATCTGTTTTATGATCACTTAAAAAACTTAATCTAATTAAAAAAAGAGACACGAACTTGGCGTCAGATTATTGTAATTTCAATAAGATACTAACTTTGAATTGTTCTTTCTTTAAATTAAATACAATATGATTAGGTATATCTTTTATACCATTGGCGCCACAAACTTTTTTCGTAATAGGCAAGTAGTTTATCATTCTGTTCTCTTCTTCAACGTCGTATTTATAGTAGAGACTGTGTTTAATTTTTTTCTTTATTTTTTAGCTAAGAAAAAGAAACACAACAGTTCTGTGGATTACGTCAGACAGGCGCGAGATTTAGCAATTAAAAAATACTACGAGAAGAAAGTAGAAAAAGTTAATTTAGAAATAAAAATACTGATGTTGGAATATGAAAAGAAAAAGAATGAAATAAAACCAGAGACAACGAATGAGTGAAGAATGAAGATCGAATTAAAGAACGAATGAATGTAACCTCTTTCGTAGCTCAGTCTGTCTGTCTATTAAAACTTTGGCGGACACAAAAATGGGATAGACTGTCTACCTTGTACGATGCCCCATGAAGGGATTACAGATTCAGGTAGTTTTCCAACTACAGCAACGCTTCGCACAATTGAGCACTCTCAAAAGTAATGTTCTCGCGTGATACTCGCAATCAATACCAACTCAGTGACAGATAATTGATGTGTTTTTTGTTTAAGTTGGCATTGATCGAAATTTTGTTTATATATTATCGTTAATAATATTATTTATTGTTGAAAAATTTGTAAGGCTTTCGTTTCGTCATTTCTCATCCATGTTTTCGTGGCAAAGAACATATTTATCAAGATGAAGAAGACGACACAATCCTATTTATTTATAATTACGAAAATAAAAATAAAGAAAATTACTAAAAACGTAAAAAAATGTTAATGAAATAATCAAAATCCAAATTAAGTTAAATAAGCGTAATTAGTTTTCAACCAATTAATAATTAATTTACCACATTATTTATACAATAATGAGGTTGCTAACTCAATGAATATTTTTTTTTTCAACACTTACACACTTACGAACTTAGCGCACTCTGCTGATTGCATTTGAAAACTAATTCACGTTCCAATTAAGTTTCAGCATAATTCGGCATTGTGCGCCACTGAGTCGCATTAAAAGTAAAAGTAAAAAATCATTTAATCATATAGGTAACATAATGTACACTTATGACTCGTCAGTAAAGAAATACATATTAATGCTTCTAATTTTACATTTACTGCCAGTTCTCAAATCAAGGGCGTAGAACGGAAGAAAAGAACTGGCAATAAACTCTCCGCCACTCTTTTTAATCGCCATTTTTTTTACACAACGTTTGTAAGGAGATGCAACCATTTCACCATGTTCCACATGACATATTAAGTAATTAATAATAATAACATAAATTAAAAAAAAAACAAAGACTTGTCCTCTATCAGCAGCATTATGCTCTAAAAAAAACTACCTCTCTTCTCCAATCTCTAAGGTCTATTTGTATGTGGTATCTTCACAGTACTAAAAATAAATTGAATATTTTATGGACACTAAAGTAAAACTAATTCATGAAATATAAAAAAAATCCATGACACTTTAAAGAATTTGAATTACACAAAAAAATCATCTAAACGAGTTCAGTGGCTAAGCATAAAAACTTATATTAATATATAATGTTATTAATAACGAGAATTTTTATATACATTTTTATCTTGTAGATAATGTACCATAATGGATGTTGATATTATAAATACATATGTAAATAGTAAGAATAAAGTTATTTTTATATTTTTTATTGTTTGATTTTTGACAATTTTGGAGTTTATAGAAATAAATTTTTGGAACAACAGTTCCGATTTTTAATATACTATCTAAAACAAATAAGTTTGAGAATTTTTACACCCCACAACACAACAGTACCTCGTACCACCCATTTTATTCGTTTTTGAGAGCACTTTTTAACGTTTTCAACTGATTGAATAACGTAAACCGTAGGTATAGCTGATCGCACTCAGACGCCCGCTTGTTGCCTGAATCTGCCACAACGCCGCGCCACTAGCGTTGTCCAAGAGGCCTGTTAGTCGACATCACAGGAGACCGAAGAGAACCTTCGGAACCTTGCCTAAAGGGACTCCTTTAATAAAATATTTTAGTTATTATATTTTAAGGTTAGTTATTGTTTTTTGTTATATTAATTTATTTTTGTTAGCTGTATGTTAATATATTAATAAGTGTATCTCAATAGATTAACATTATAAAAAGCGAAAGATTCACTTGACCATTTTAAATTTATGTCATAGTGACATTTTCGTGAAACTTAATCGCGCGTAATCGCCAGAATGAATAATTTTGTAAGAGTTTTAGCTGAATCTGATTTATTCACTCAGTATTATGTAATGTATGCTTCATACGCGCACTACGTTCACAAATAAGTTTATGTATATAATTTTCTAAATAATAGTTTTGCTCGGCCAGCCTTTCTGCATTTCCACACGCTTCTATTCGTTTCCTCTTTTCTAACGATATTTGGCTCCGCAAAGTGTTGTTCTCCTTTTGTAAAGACTTAATTCGACTTTCGTAATTCATTTTATGTCTTCACCAATTTCCCATTTAAGTTCTTGGATATGTTGTTTTAGTAGAATATTTTTTTCTGATAGTTCAATGGCTCTTGTCATTTCTTGGTGCTTTTTTTCGGTGGCTTCTAGGAGCTGTGCTCGTAGCTTGCAATTTTCATCGAGAAGTTTGCCTAAATTTGATTTTAAGAAGGCATTACCCTTGTCTTTGGTAAATTTAGATTTTTGCAATTTCATAATCAAAATGTCATAACTCGGAGAATTTCACTTACTAAAACTAGTACAATTTATTAGATTGGATATCTTATTGCGTGTTTGACATTGTCAAAATAATTTCTTATACTCTTTAGTCGTTTTATTTTATTTATTATTAATCAAATTACATAGATATGTGGAAGAGTTTGTCATCTTTGGGCACTGTTTAGTCAATCAAAACTTCATAATAAAAGTAAGTTCATTTTTAACCGACTAGACCGAAGAAGGAGGTTATTAATTCAACGTGTATTTTTTTTGTAAACATGATACACATGACAAAAACCGGACCTCGGTTTTCTGAACACATGTTTTAGATCGAGTAAAATTCTGATCTTTTTGCTACATGCTTACTTAAATATATTGACCATTGAAATAAACGCATTTTATCCACCTCATCCATTACGGGGAATATGTACATCTTTTATAAAGTACAAAATGTAGTTTTATACTAAGTTTTGACAGAACTTAAATTCTTCAAGCAAAAAAAATTGATGAATAAATCACGACGGTTGGTTGGAGGGTTTCTTACAGCCTTACATTATAGTCGTTTATTTGGAGAACGTGGCTTTAATAAAGATTTAAATAAGCTATAATGTTAATTCATTGTGAGCAGTGTTGGCCTAGTGACTTCAGCGTGCGACTCTCATCCCTAAGGGCCGTAGGTTCGATCCCCGGCTGAGCACCAATGGACTTTATTTCTATGTGCGCATTTAACATTCGCTCGATCAGTGAAGGACAACATCGTGAGGAAACCGACAAGTCTTAGACCCAAAAATTCGACGGCGTGTGTCAGCCACTGGAGGCTGATCACCTACTTGCCTATGAGATTTAAATATGATCATGAAACAGATTTTGAAATCTGAGGCCCAGACCTAAAGAGGTTGTAGGGCTACTGATTTTTATTAAGTTAACTCAATGCCCTACTTTTTAGACAAGTCTTTACAGTTAATAGGGCGTTTAATTTCGTAGCTATTTTGCGTAAATATTTTGATATATAATTTATTAATCTACCATTACAGATAATTAAAGAGACGACTTCGCGTATGGCTTATAAAGCGACTGTACTAGAACAGCATTAAGATTTAAGGTCCAAGAGGGCATAGGTCTGTATTCTGCAGTTGTATTTCAAATTGTACGAATGGCGCACGCGTGTTTAGTTATTTTGTGCATAGGCACGCTACTTATAAATGTTCTTAGTGATCCTGCTTTAGCGCCGTCTAGGAAAATGGAAGCTAAAGGTTAGTTTAACAATTATTTAGTTTAATAAATAATTTTAAAATTACTTCAAAGTTTTTCTTAAGTGGATTCTTTCAGTTTAAGTTTAAAATCATTACTTAAACGCTTTTAAATCTGTTACAGTATCTGCTTTAACAGACTTTTATTTAAAATATATTACAATTACGATGTATCTCAGATAAAGCCGTATTGTTTATTGCACTATATAAAAGCCGTATTATTGTATGTAATAATCCATGAATTATGCTTTTATAACTGTTATACTAATACCCATACAGTAAATATCTATGTTAAAATTATAGTAAAAAACAATAATTCCATTTTTAAAAAAAAGTAAGTTGTACAATATTGATATAATATTAATGAAATGAAAACTACGAAGTAACATAGACTACAACTTAATAAACTATTTAAATTTAGAAGTTCTATAAACATTATCGTATAGTCGACAAACTGTAACTGTCACTCAACAGTGACAGCCGATTCGTTGCGGCATCTTTGATCGGATCAGCTGACCTATAAACCTAATGCACTTATGCTAAGTGACGACTGGATCTCACCCTATTTATTCAATGCAATTGATTGTTTGCCGTTATTTTGATTGGTGCCTTTATACCTTTTAAATGATATCGAGTTTTGAGCAAAAAATATATTTGAGTCTCATAGATTGATTCATCAACTATTCCCGGGCTAACCCTGGAATTGACACAACTACTGGAAATAGATGAGAGCAGTGTTGGCCTAGTGGATTCAGCGTGCGACTCTCAGCAGACATCCCTGAGGTCGTAGGTTCGATCCCCAGCTGTGCACCAATGGACTTTCTTTCTATGTGCGCATTTAACATTTGCTCGAACGGTGAAGGAAAACATCGTGAGGAAACCGACATGTCTTAGACCCAAAACGTCGACGGCGTGTGTCAGGCACTGGAGGCTGATCACCGACTTGCCTATTAGATTTAAAAATGATCATGAAACAGATTCAGAAATCTGAGGCCAAGACCTAAAGAGGTTGTAGCGCCACTGATTTATTTTTTATTTTTACTGGAAATAGATAATCGTCTATATATAATCTTTAAGATATGTTGATTCGGTCACAGGTACCTTTTCTTGTCAAAATTCTACTCAAATTCACCACTATGTAAGGTTTAAGGGCTCCCACACAAAACTGCGAATTCGCATCGCATCGCATCGCAGTTTTGTGTGGGAGTCCTAATATAGGTCATGTACGAGCCAAGACTACATTTTGCTCACTCAGGCTTTCTTAGTTTTATCGGAGTTACGCCCCAAGAGTAGGTATAGCCAGACGTATTGCATTCATTCGTTACATAGCAATTAACATTTCATTATTTCTGTTATATTCTATCTTTGTACG